AATATTTGCCTACCCAGACTTCACAAAGACTTTCGTGTTGACTTGTGATGCATCAAATTTTGCTATTTCGGCCATATTATCCCACAAGGTCCCATAGGGAATGATAGACCTGTCGCTTATGCTTCAAGAAATTTAAATAAAGCCGAGTGTAACTACAGTATAACAGAAAAAGAATGCTTAGCAATTCTTTTCGGTACTAAAGTATTTAGGCCATACCTACATGGCTGTCGTTTTAAAATTATTACCGACCACCGCCCACTTAGTGGTTATTTAACTGCAAAGACCCGGGGTCAAAACTAGTAAGGTGGAGGCAATTAGAAGAGTTCGACTACGAGGTCGAATACAAAAAGGGCAAAATTAACAGTAACGCAGACGCATTATCCCGTTTCCCTGTTAATCCGGTTGTACAAAATGATACTATCTCAGATCCGCAACCTTCCACCTCCTACGAAGAACCTCAAACTACTCAAGATCCTGGACTTCCTTCAGACATTTTCGAAGAACTCATTGAACTGGGTGACTTGAATCTCAGTCCATCAGAACTGTTGAATCCCGAACACACTGATTCAATTCCATTAGACGCAAAATCCCCACAAAATTCCTGTAACGAATCAAATAAAGACTGAAAACAACCTGGCCCATTGCAACGACGATTACTCTACATTCCTTAAAACATTTTCTAAAAAGGATGAGACTTTTAATACTTACATAAAGGAATATAATGAGATACGGGAACTAGGATTGTTTTGCAATTGCTTTTTAAAAGCAATTGCAAAACAATCCTAGTTCCCGTATCTATCGATTTTGACGAATCAAATACCTCTCGTGAGGATATTCTTTACGGTTTAAATGACACAAAGGTCTTAAACGAAGAACGAAAACTTCACTCATTTAAAAAAGATAGAGTCAAAGGGCAAAATTTATTATCTTCTTTTCACTAAAGTATATTATTTAATGACTGCTCCTACCCCGAAATCTTCAAAACCTTAAAAGCCGCCAGGGACGACATTATACTTTCAGGTAATATTAGTGAAATCGCAGTTTCTGATTTTAAGAATCTGTTCGTACAACATTCGTTTGTCAAAACATACGGCATGCTTATGTATTTATATAACAATACAAATATAACAATAAATATCATCATAACTCCATAATATACCCTGTACCCACAGGGATATCGAAAATTCTAAAAGAAAATCACGATATACCAATAGCTGGTCACTTAGGATCAAATAAAATGTATAATAGAATTAAAGAACGTTATTATTGGAAAAACATGCGCCCAGATATAGAGAGATATATACAAAATTGCAAACAAACTTTGCCAAACAAATAAACCGTTATGCAAGATTAACCGGTCTCCTATGCAAATCACAACCACTTCTACTCGCCCATCTGAGAAAATAAGCCTAGACATAGAAGGCCCCTTACCCGAAGCGGGTTTTCACAAACTCCGATTTATACTCACGCTCCAAGATGATCTAACCAAATTCTCTACAGCCTATCCAATTTCCAACGTCACCGCAGAGGAAACATGCGAAGCTCTAATTCACTTCATTTCACAATTTGGGTTCCCTAAATCCATAATTACTGATCAGCTAGGTTTCTTACCGTACCATATGCTAATGACAACATCAAATGCCAACAGCCATTATATATATACATACATTTTTAATTTTACATTAATTCACAAACATTATCTCTCATTTCAAAACCAACGCTAAGAAAGCAGGTTTGTTAGAGAATGCTAGATTCTATGCATTTATACGTTGCACTTACATACACTTATGCTTTAGAACAATAACTGCATACCTAATTATCTAGGTAGGCAGTAAAAATAGCTAAATGTTTTAAGACATCGTTTTATACAATATATCTATTATGCAGCTAGTTCGCTATAAAAAATAAGATCATATAGGAATTTACTAATGATCGACAATAAAACACATAATTTTCCGATGCTCTTGGTTCCAGGGCGAACAATGTATGGGCGCAGAGCAATGTCCTTTGTGTCATTCTATAATAAAATCCAGTTGTAATTTCTAAATAGTTTTTTTAAAAGACATTTCGTGAAACCCCATATAAAGCCCCATACGAAGGAATTTTTGCTTTGTCGGGTGGAATGCTAAAATTTTGTGACTCGAGAGGAGATCGCGTTTTGTGCTCGATGATAATTTAGTGCCAAGTGAACATGGGACATTGAACTTTGACCGACAATTCTTAAGTTGTGCAGCGTGTCACTTGTTTTTAATTTCGTTTAACGTTGATTCAGTTAAATTTTAAGTTAATTAAATGTTTAATAAAATTGATAAACTAATATAGTGAAATAAAAGCAGAAGGTTTCAAGTGGTGAACGCCCACTGGAGGGATCGCACATTGTGGAGAAAAGCAGCGCCTGTGGGTCTGCTGTCCGATTACATCGGTGACGTCAGGTTACATTTATACACACTTTCGCACACTACTTACATACACCTTACTTACCACTTGACTGATACCCTGTGGTCAATCCTACCTCCGGAACTCGGTAGGTTTGTGTTGCTTATCAGCCATTAGTTAATAACAATTCATAGGCCATTTGGACCCGAACCCTCTGTTGCTCGTCGAGTGTGCTACTATAGGCCCTAGCCCAGTCGACTTCTGTTGAGGCAACTGAGGGCCGTAACATTTTCTGGTAGCAGAGCGTGATTGATTGTTTATCCAATCACGTCCGGCCGTAATAAAAAAAAATATTTTTTGTGTTTTGTTAGCGGATCGGTGCGTCGAATTAGAACCACGCCCGTTACGCTGCGCAAGCAGGAGTGTAGTTTAGGGTTAGGTACCTACGCGTCAGGTATTTCGAGTAGGTAGATTAAATTGCCGAAGGGTCTTGGCCGAGGCCGAGGCATCTTGCTGACCGACTGTAGTGTGTACTTACCGTGTAGTGTAATTTGTATTTAATTTAATTTAATAGTAATTTGTAGTTAGTAGTGATGCCATCGCACAAGCCATCGGCGCTTCGCCTGCAGGCGGAGCTGCGCTGGGCCGCGAATGCCCACAAGTTGATAGGGCGACCCGATCGGGTCCATAGTTTAGGGAAGCGGCTCGAGCAGGTCGTGGCCCGAAAGGCCGTAGTGGAGGAGGCTTGCACAGAGCTTTTGGCCTCGGATGCGGAACAGGGAGTCCTAGACTCCTGCCTCGCGGACTACGAGCAATTCTTTGCGCTCACGGACGACTTGATCGAGGCGGGGGCTAAGTATGATAATGAAGCACGTGAAGCTCGGCCGAGTGGCCTGCCCGAGTCCCCTCGGAAGCAGCCCACTCAGCCGGAGCTGTTGGGACGACTCCCAACTCTGGACCTGCCAAGGTTCTCCGCGGTCCTCTCCCACTGGATGACCTTTGTTGGCCTTTTTGATAGCCTAGTGGACGCCCGGGGGGACTTGACACCAAGCCAGAAGATGGCGTACCTCCTGGCCTCTCTGGAGTGGGGGAGGCCTTGGGCATCGTCGGCCATTTGAGATTTTCGGACGACGCCTACCCGACTGCCCGGGACCTCCTCGCCGGAAGATACGCCAACGTCCGGCGAATCGCGGACGAATACGTTAGGCAGCTTCTAAACCTCCCGCTGCTTAGTGACCGGGCCAGACTACGTCCAGACTTCGTAAATCCAGTCGTGGTGGCCAGTAATGCGTTGAAGCGGCTGGATTTACTGGTGGACGAATGGTCCTTCTTGTTGCTCCACATCGTGCTGTCCCGCCTGCCTCTCGACCTTCGGATACATTTTGAGGAGAGGTACGGCGGGGACGGCGCCTCCTATATTCCGCCCTACAGGGATCTGCTGCGGTTCTTGGAGGAGCAGTGTCGGCAAATTGAGAACGCGGCGGGCACCGTCGACGACTTACGGGTTGCAAACCGAGCCGTGCCCAGGGAGAGGCGGAATCCGCCGGGCAAGTTGGCGCCAACCCCCTAAGGCCGATCGGAGCTCCCGCGGGAGGGCGCCGCCTCCTACCATCTAACAGCGGCCTAGCGGCCAGGGAGGCGCCCCCCTGCTCCTATTGTCGAGCATCCGATCACCGGCTGACGTCGTGCCCGAAGTTATTGGGTAAGCCGGTCCCGGCGAGGCGAACTATCGCAAAGGAGCGCCGCTGGTGCTACTCGTATTTGGAAAGGCACCTCCAACGAGACTGCCCGCACCAGCGGCCCTGTCCGCACTGCCAGGGCAACCACCATGCCGTTTTGTGCCTGGGTGCGAACGGTGCTTCCTCTCGGAGCTCTGCCGGGCCCTCGACTCCCACGAGCGGGAGTGCTCAGCCACGCCCTCCTAGACCCTTCTCACCCCCGTTAGCTGAGTGGCCGCGACTGGAGTACCCCCTACCCTTTTTGGTCGGTACCGGTACTACGGGGTACCTGCGACCTTGAATCTGTCCCGGGCCTCAAGGCCGAGGTTCCCCGAAGCTCCCTAGGTCGGCCCGTTCAGTGATTTCCAACCACGGGTCATTGAGATGCCGCCGGAATGCCGCTTTCGGGCCCCCGGTTCGAGTGCCGGTCCGATGGAGGCAGCCCCAGCTAGGTAGCTGCCGCCCTAGCTCCCACCACGTCCGCCTCCACTGATCCTCTGAGCCGTCAATAGTCCACTTGTCAAACGGTTCTATTGCCGACGGCCTCAGTGAAGGTGTACAACCCGAGTGGCGACTGTTTAACGGTTCGCGCTCTATTGGATTCGGGTTCACAACGCAGTGTGGCCTCCACTTGGTTGGTGGGAAGACTAGGGCTCCCCTGGAACTCTGAATCACGTCCAATGGTAGGTATCAGAGGTGCCTAGCCTCCTGCTCCTAGGGGACAAGCGGAGTTGGTGTTTGGTCCTACCAGCGAACACCTTCACATTCTAGTTAAGGTAAATGTCCTCGATGACATTGTACAGGGTGGGCCAGAAAGAATTGCGAATTTGAAAAAATCATTAAAAAAAAACTAAGTACAATTCACATACAAATTTTTATTTCTACAAAAATTTACATCTAAGAAATTCATTTCTTAAAAATAACATCATCCAGATGTGCACCATCGCGCTGCAAACATTCTTCGAATCTGAACCTCAAATTGGTAAAAACTCCCTGGCACATTGCACGGGGAATATCTGCCATTTCTTTCCGGATATTGGTCTTCAACTGGTCAATTGTGGCTGGGTTATTGGAGTAGACTCTACTTTTTAGGTATCCCCACAAAAAAAAGTCCAGTGGTGTAAGATCCGGACTTCTAGGAGGCCATACAATGTCACCTCGGCGCGATATCAGTTTCTCACCAAACATCTCGTTTACGACCGCCAAAGAGGCATTAGCTGTGTGGCATGTCGCGCCATCTTGTTGAAACCATGTCGCACGATAATAGGCTTCAAATTGTTGCAGTTGTGGAAAGAAAAAATCCCTTAACATGGCTATGTATCGGTCAGAATTTACAGTGACGGATTGGCATTGTCGATTTTCGAAGAAGTGGGGTCCGATAATTCCGTGCGCTGACATGGCCGCCCAAACGGTTACTTTCGGCGAATGTAGAGGCTTTTGATGTTTTGCACGTGGGTTCTCTGCAGCCCAGTAACGGTAATTATGTTTATTCACCTGCCCATTGATGTGAAAATGGGCTTCGTCGGAGAAAAGAATATTGTTGAAACTCCGAAAGCGTTCCAGCATCGTTTCAACAAAAGCTCTCCTTAAAATTGGATCATTTGACTGTAATTCCTGCACAAGTTGAATTTTATACGGATGCAATTTCAGATCTTTCAACAAAATGCGACGCAAAGATGTTCTGGACACCACAAGTTCGGCTGAACGCTTTCGAGTCGATAGAGCAGGATTACGTTGAACTGAAGCTCTAACTTGTTCAATTGTGTCTTCCGTTTTTGTTGACCTTGGGCGTCCCGCAGGCTTCTGTTTGAGAGTCAAACCAGTAGCTTCTAACTTTCTGACCCACGATCGAATCACGCTTTTCTTCGGATACTGATTTAGGTCATGTAATCCAAACTCACGTCGAAATAAACGCCGAACAATAGCGCACGAATCGTGATTTTTATAATAATGTTTAACGCAGAATGCACGTTGCGCTCCCGTGAAGTGATCCATCGCGACTAAATTTCCGAGAACCGACCTACTTAACCCCACCACCCGCGCAGTACCCTCTCTAAAGCTTCAAACGGAAGAGTGTTTTTAAAATCGTACTCCTTTCTGGCCCACCCGTTATTTTGGAGACTTCGGTCTACATGGACAACATTTGCACGGACGCCTCCACCGTCGAGAAGGCTCTTGTATTGCGAGACGAATTGATTGCCATCCTGAAGTCCGGAGCTTATGAGTTGCGCAAATGGATGTCGAACTCTACTCATATTTTGAATGATCTCCCAGGAGAGGATCAACAAGACCCTCATCTATTCGAGCACCCTGAAAATCCTAATTTGTTGACTGTGCTGGGCATTCAATATCAGCCTGTTCAGGATACTTTCACGTATCGAGTCAAACTCGATTCCCCTCCTAAAGCATGGACCAAGCGCTCCGTGCTGTCTACAGTAGCCCGCACCTTCGATCCTAGTGGATGGATCACTCCGGTCATTTTTTTGGCTAAGTGCTTTCTTCAAAAGCTCTGGATATCCAGGTTGGGTTGGGACGAGCCTATTAGCGGTGCTCTCTTGCGAGAGAGGGACTCCATTGTGTGCTCCCTTCCAGACATTAACCGGGTCTCCATGCCAAGGTGCTTCCTCCCTCCAGAGAAATGCAGGGCTACCCTACATGGATTCTGCGACGCCTCTGAGAAAGGCTATGCTACTGTCGTATATTTGCGGACTGTGAGCTCTTCTGCCCATACTTCCGTCCATCTCGTACTTGCTAAAAGCAAGGTTGCTCCCATTAGGTCCCGCTTAACTATCCCTAAATTGGAACTGTCCGGAGCTGCTCTTCTCACGCGACTCCTCAACCACGTTCACTTGTCTTTGAAGTCTGTAATCGACATTACGGACGTCTACGCTTGGTCGGACAGTGAGATAGTACTTTGTTGGCTCAGAGCTGCACCTCACAATCTTGAGGTCTTTGTGGCGAACCACGTGTCTCAAATCCAGGATTCTGGGACGTCTCTAAACTGGAGACATGTCCCAGGAGAGTTGAATCCCGCAGACTGTGCTTCTCGCGGCTGTGAAGCCCCCTCTTTGGTTGACCACCCGCTGTAGTGTCTCAGTCATTCTGGCCCCAGAATAAATACTCCGAACCGATTGAATTGCCTGGCCTACGAGCCCGAGTAGGAGTGGGCAAGGATAAGCCCACTCGGGATTTCTCCCTGCTAGAACGGTACAGCTCTCTCGATAAGCTCTTAGGAGTGACTGCTTGGTTGCATCGATTTGTCCGCATTTCGATAGACCCGTCCAACCGAATCTCTGATTCCGTTTTGTCCCCTAGCGAGCGTCGCGAAACTTTGATGCTTTGGATCCGTATGGTCCAAGAGGAGCATTTTGAGCCCGTGATTGAAACCTTGAAGCGGGGCTCAGTTGTCAAGGGCGCTCTGGCCCGTCTGAACCTCTTCCTGGGATGCTGCGCGTTGGCGGACGTTTGAAAAATTCTCAACTGCCGTACGGGGCTCGACACCCGTTACTGCTCCCTAAGGACGGAGCCTTTGTTTGGTTGCTGGTAACTCACCATCATGTTAAGAATGCCCACGCTGGGTGTAACGCTCTTTCGGCTATTTTGCAGCGGGAGTTTTGGAGTTTGGCTGGCCGACGCACCATTCGGAGCGTCCTCTTTAAGTGCATACCTTGTTATAAACTGAAGGCCGTCATATCGCAGCCTATGATGGGTGACTTACCACCCGATCGCGTCAGGGCCATCAGACCATTCGCTGGAGTCGGAACAGACTTTGCTGGCCCCTTCCTCGTCAAGTCCTCCAACCTTCGTAACGCGCGTTCACATAAGGCCTATAAGTGCGTTTTCGTGTGCCTCGCCACTAAGGCCGTTCACTTAGAACTTGTAAGTGCCCTCAGCACTGAAGCCTTTTTGGCCACGCTGGGCCGCTTCGTATCGCGTCGCGGTTTGCCGGACCTGATCCGGTCTGATTGCGGAACGAATTATAAGGGCACGGATAGATATTTGAAAGAGGTCGTCGAATTTCTGTCCAGTAACAGGACTTATTTAGGTACTGCGATGTCCAAGAAGGGCATCCAGTGGATATTCGACCCTCCGGCTTGCCCACACTGGGGCGGTATTTTTGAGGCGGTGCTTAAGGTTGCAAAAACGAATCTCCGTCGCGTTATTGGCGAAACTATTTTGACAATTCAGGAGCTTGCCACTGTATTCTGTAAAATTGAGGTGGTACTCAACTCTACACAGCTGCAATTCTACACAGCTGCGCACCCATGCCAACGAGGGTTAGGGCGTCCCCACAAGGCGACGCACACCAGGTCGTCCCCGTTGGTGTGGAATGCAGCGCGCAAAGCGGCGATGGGGACCGCCACCCGTCACGCACAGCCCGACACGGTGGAAGGTGGAGGACAGAGTGCAGAGTTGGCACATGGAATGCTAGATGAGGCATGAGAGATAAGACGAATGAGTTGATCGAAATAATGAAAGAAAGAGAATTAGATGTCGTGTGTATGTCGGAGACCAAACTGAAGGGCAGTGGTACTGAAGAGCACCCTGGCGGGGTGTTAGCTCTATGGTCCGGAGTCCCGGAGAGTGAGAGTGCCTGCCAGGGCGTGGGGTGCTGCTGTCGTCTCGGTTGGTCGATGTTATGACTGAATATAAGGTTGTAAACCCAAGACTTCTCTGGGTTCGCTTTAAATTGGAACTGACGAAGTTATTCCTTTTGACTGTTTATGCACCGGTAGCTTTGTTGTCTAGGGCTGAGCTGGAGGAGTTTTGGGAGAATGTAAGAGAAGTTCTAGATTTGGTTAGGGGAAACGAAAGAATTGTTGTATGTGGTGATTTGAATGAATGGGTTGGTACCGCTCGACCAGGGTACGAGTCGCTGCTTAGAAAGTTTGGCGATAAAAGGGTTAATGATGCTGGCAAACTTATACTGGCTGTATGCAAGGAAAAGGGTCTTCTTGTGTTCTCACTATGTTTAATCACAAGAAAATCCATATGTATACTAGAGAAAGAAAGAATGAGCGAAGTATGATCGATTTGTTCCTGGTGGATGACCGACTGCGAAAACAGGTGATGGATACGCGAGTGTTCAGGGGTGCTGACCTGGGAACGGATCACTATCTAGTGATTACTAGATTTAGGGGTCTGTTCGCGGGTTGGCGCTACCGGACGGCAGTAACAGAACCACAGTCGGTCTGTCGCACCGAAGCTGGAAGCTTCAGGAAGCGGATACTAGGGACAAATATCATGCGAGGGTAGCCGAAAAGCTTGATACCATCGATGGCAGAAAAGAATGTGTGGAAAGAACATGGCAGAACCTTAGGAATGGAATGGTAAGTGCAGCGGAAGAAGTATGTGGAACGATAAAGAGAGGTAGTAGTATAAGAAGAGATGCATAGTGGAATGATGAAGTGAAAGAAGCTGTAAAGAAGAAGAAGAAAGCATGGTTAGACTACTTGGCCTCTAGTAATGATAAGGATATGAGAGAGAAGATGAAAGAAAGATATAAGCTGCAGAAAGTTCACACGAAAGCATTAATTTAGGAAGTGCGTGAAAGGTGTAGAATGGAAGCGGACGAAAAGTTGTCGCACAACTTTAAGGACAACTTCAAACTCTTCTGGAAAGAGGTTGGAAGGTCCCGAAGTGGTGCAACGGCCTTAAGAATGAACAAAGTGCTTTCGAGAACCAATGACTTCCTCTCAGAAAAATCGGACGTCATGCAGCGATGGAGCGAATTTTATAGAGAAATGTATGCGTGTGATGATCTTAGTGAGGGATCCGGGGGTGACGCCGTGACTGGTACGTCAGACCCGGACCTCGATGACACTGAGGTCATCAGTATGAAAGAGATTGAACGTGCTATTCGAAGTTTGAAATGTGGTAAGGCTGCGGGACTAGACAGAGTTAATGCTGAAATGGTCCCGGATGATTGGCGATCCGCAGTCATTGTGCCTTTATATAAAGGTAGAGGTTCACATTTTGACTGCGGGTGCTATCGGGCGATCAGCTTGACCAGTTTAGCAAGTAAAGTTTACTCGAAGGTTTTGACACGTAGGATGCAAGAGAAATCGGAAAGTTTTCTATGGGAGGCACAATACGGATTTAGACCTGGAAGAGGATGCACGGATGAAATGTTTTCTCTCCGCATGATCACGTAAAAGCTTCTGGTTGCTAACCAGAAGATTTTCTGTGCTTTTGTGGATCTTGAGAAAGCATTTGATAAGGTTGTAAGGAAGAAAATGTGGGAACTGTTGCCGTGGTATGGTGTGGATGGTCGATTGCTAAGGGCTGTGCAGTCACTTTACTAACGGGCG